TACTCGTTCCGTAATACATCATCCTTCAACTAACTCATTAGTTGCAATGCTTGCAAGGCTTAGTGATGTGCATTACCGAGAGGGCCCAGAGATACCTCTCCGACAATCGGAGTGACAAATCATAATCTCGAAATACGCCAACCCAACAAGTACCTTCGGAGACACCTTTAGAGCACCTTTATAATCACCCAGTTACGTTGTGACGTTTGGTAGCACACAAAGTGTTCCTCCGATAAACGGGAGTTGCATAATCTCATAGGCATAGGAACATGTATAAGTCATGAGGAAAGCAATAGCAACAAACTAAACGATCAAGTGCTATGCTAATGGAATGGGTCAAGTCAATCACATCATTCTCCTAATGATGTGATCCCGTTAATCAAATGACAACTCATGTCTATGGTTAGGAAACATAACCATCTTTGATCAATGAGCTAGTCAAGTATCGGCATACTAGTGACACTCTGTTTGTCTATGTATTCACACATGTATTATGTTTCCGGTTAATACAATTCTAGCATGAATAATAAACATTTATCATGATATAAGGAAATAAATAATAACTTTATTATTGCCTCTAGGGCATATTTCCTTCATCGTCCACGTACCCTCGTAGACCGTAAGCGGAAGCGTTATGAGAACATGGTTGATGTAGACGCGTCTTCACGATCCGACCAATCCTAGTACCGAACGTACGGCACCTCCGAGTTCAGCACACGTTCAGCTCGGTGACGTCCCACGAACTCCGATCCATCAGAGTTTCGAGGGAGAGTTCCGTCAGTACGACGGCGTGATGACGGTGATGATGCTGCTACCGACGCAGGGCTTCGCCTAAGCACCGCTACGATATGACCGAGGTGGATTATGATGGAGGGGGGCACCGCACACGGCTAAAAGATCAACTGATCAACTTGTGTGTCTATGGGGTTCCCCCTGGCCACGTATATAAAGGATGGAGGGAGGAGGAGGCCGTCCCTCATAGGGCGCGCCCAAAGTGTGGAGTCCTACTAGGACTCCCTAGTCATAGTAGGATTCCACCTCCCACATAGAATAGGAAAAAGGGAAGGGAGAAGGAGAAGGAAGGAAGGGGACGCCCCCTTTCCCTAGTCCAAATTCGGACCAGTCCATGGGGAAGGGGCGCTGCCACCCTTGAGGCCTTTCTCTCCTTTCCCGTATGGCCCATTAAGGCCCAATACAAATTCCCGTAACTCTCCGGTGCTCTGAAAAATACCCGAATCACTCGGAACCTTTCCGATGTCCGAATATAGCCTTCCCATATATCGATCTTTACGTCTCGACCATTTCGAGACTCCTCTTCATGTCCCCGATCTCATCCGGGACTCCGAACAAACTTCGGTCATCAAATCACATAACTCATAATACAAATCGTCACGAAACGTTAAGCGTGCGGACCCTACGGGCTCGAGAACTATGTAAACATGACCGAGACTAATCTCCAGTCAATAACCAATAGCGGAACCTAGATGCTCATATTGGTTCCTACATATTCTATGAAGATCTTTATCGGTCAAACCGCATAACGATATACTTTGTTTCCTTTGTCATCGGTATGTTACTTGCCCGAGATTCTGTTGTTGGTATCTTAATACCTAGTTCAATCTCGTTACCAGCAAGTATCTTTACTCGTTCCGTAATGCATCATCCCGTAACTAACTCATTAGTCACATTGCTTGCAAGGCTTATAGTGATGTGCATTACCGAGAGGGCCTAGTGATACCTCTCCGATATTCGGAGTGACAAATCCTAATCTTGATCTATGCCAACTCAACAAACACCATCGGAGACACATGTAGAGCATCTTTATAATCACCCAGTTACGTTGTGACGTTTGATAGCACACAAGGTGTTCCTCCGGTATTCGGGAGTTGCATAATCTCATATCTGAGGAACATGTATAAGTCATGAAGAAAGCAGTAGCAATGAAACTGTAACGATCATCGTGCTAAGCTAATGGATGGGTCAAGTCAATCACATCATTTTCTAATAACATGATCCCGCTTATTAAATGATAACTCTTTGTCCATGGCTAGAAAACTTAACCATCTTTGATTAACGAGCTAGTCAAGTAGAGGCATACTAGTGACACTCTGTTTGTTTATGTATTCACACATGTATTAAGTTTTCGGTTAATACAATTCTAGCATGAATAATAAACATTTATCATGATATAAGGAAATATAAATAACAACTTTATTATTGCCTCTAGGGCATATTTCCTTCATCCGGTGGGCACCATCCAAACAGGCCCTATGTTCTTAGTTCTTACTTGGATTTTAAGAAAGATAATAATGGTGGCCTGCATGAGTCCTGGTAGACAAATCAATAATCATTGTTCCACAAATGCAAGTGGTTGATGCAATTCTGAACATGCCAAAACCTTTTCTCCATTCTGTTGTTCCGCCTATGCTACCCCACGTTTGTTCCGCCTATGCTACCCCACGTGTCACTCTGATTTGCGCTTCTCATATGAGTTGGATTATCCTACCAATCTTTATCGTATTAGGTGTCATGATAATATACGACAACCTAACTAAAAACACACAAATCTAATCTAGTGCCACACAAATTTAGTTAGACCATTGCAACCATGTCTTGAGTATACACATGAATGGATATGTTTTCTGATTTTCATGATGGATGCCAGAGAAAGTCTCATAGCGTTTTTATATTTTGGTAACTTAAACATTTCCTCAATTGTTAGTCAATCATTAATAAATTGGATCAACGTGTGATGCATGATGTGCATTCCAGTGACACAATTGTATAACAAATTAAAAACAAATTGTTAAAAGGAAACAAGTAGACAGCTGCTAGTAAACACCGAATATCACGAGTATATTCTCCTTTTTTTCAAGAGACGGTAGGCAAATAATCACATTTTTACAGTTCAAAACACGTCGATAGTGCGACACAAAAATTATCATCATTAGAGCAACTCCAAAGGGCCGATCCATTTCGTCTGCCTGCGTCCATTTGGGTCGGCGCGGACAAAACTGACGGCCCAATGCGCCGACCCAAACCCAAATCATGTCCACGTCGCGTCCGCGCCGACGCATTTACGGTCCAAATTTGCGTCCCAAATACGTCAGCGCGGAAGCCGAACGGACGCTTCTCGCGCCTTCCCGCTGTCCGCCGTGTTCCCACATGCCGGCCGTCCAACTATCCGTCGCCCATGCGGTCAGCTTAATTTATGATGACGGGCCCACGCGTCAGCGACGGCGCTCGTCCTTTTTTAAGCCGACCGTGCGGCAGGGCCGTCCTCATCCAAACTCGCCGTCCACATCTGCCATTCTTTGCTCCCTCGTCGCCGGCAAACCCTAACCACCACAACCACAACGAGATGGGCCTCTTCTCCGGCGCCAGCAGCAGCAAGGCCAAGGGCAAGTCCCCCGCCACCCCTTTCCCCTCAGAGTTCCTCCCGCCTCTGCCGGTGCCGGCGCCTCGCCAGCAGAGGCAGCGCGTGAACGTGCCAGTGCATCAGGCGGAGTGGCACTGGCACCACCCCCAGCCCCTGATGTATCCCGACGTGACGCTGCCGCACGACTGGCATCTGGATCCAGATAAGATCCCAGTGTCGGCGGCGCCGCGGTCAGCTCGTGCTCACGCGGAGGAGGTACGGCGTCGGCGGGCGCTACTGACGCCGGAGCAGCGCCACGACCCTGCCTACGCAACCGACTCGCCCAACTGTGCGAGGTGGTTCGCCTTCGAGCACGAGGAGGCGAGGCGCGCGAGGTCGACCGGAGGTCGCCGCCACCGGCGCTCGCCGTCCGCGAGGAGGACCAGACGGCCCTTGCGGCCGTCTACCGAGAGAGCGAGGAGGACGAGCGGCGCAGGGCGGAGGCGGAAGAGGAGGCTCGGTATGAGGCGGCAATGGCGCAGGCCCTTGCCCTCTCCGCGGCGGGAGACAGCGTGGTGCCGCCGGTGGTCCCACCGTCCCCCATCAAGCCGGAGCCGGAGCGGGAGCCGTCCCCCATCAAGCGCTACTCCTGGACGGGAGTAGTGCGCGAGTGCGTACGCGCGCCGCCGGTCTGGATAGGAGCTACGTCGGCGCAGGAGCAGGCGTAACTCGAGCACTGACGCAAGATCAGGGTGGCCGAGGAGCGCCGCGACGGCGAGTACCTCGAGATGCTCGAGCGCGACCTCAAGGAGGAGCAGCGCGAGGCCGGGGAGGAGGCGCACCAGGCGGCGGCCGCACCCCCCTCCCCCCGCGCGCGCGTCGGCACTGCCTGCGCCGGCACAACCCGACATGACGGCACTCTGGAACACGGCGTTCGCCTGGGCCGGGCCGCGCCGACGCTCATCGACCTCACGGACCCCGAGGACGACGACGACGCCTAGGGCAGCGCGCCACCTCGTAGTTTAGGTTGTTTTTATTTTTTTTAAATGCAAATGTGGACGCATGGACTTTCGCCGGTCTTCGTGGCCGGTTTTAATGTTTAATTAATGTTGTTTCTTTTTTTAATATGCATGCGTTCATTTTTTTTGCGCCATCAAAATGGATTCAGGCCTACGTTGAATGCACGTGCCGACCCAAATATGAAAGCGGACATCCGTATCCGTCTGGCCGACCCAAACGGATAAAAAGCAGACGAAATCATCGTCCGTTTAGGTCGGCCCGTTGGAGTTGCTCTTAGACTCGCATTGTAATTTCATACTCCAAACATTGGACGCCAAAACAAAGTTCATTTTTCATTGTGAACAAACAAAGGGGTAGCAGTATAAATTTAGGTGCAGCACACTTGCCAGGGGCTGGGTAGGGGCCGGCGGCGGTCGTAGTCCGCCGAGAGCCCGAAAACACCGTGGTCTGGCCTGGCCGTGTGGATCCATCCATCAATCCATCCACCCGAGGCGAGGGCGAGACGGAGATATCCCGTGTGCGTCCCGCTGTTCGCTTCTCCCGCATCCCGATAGCACCAGCAAGCAAAACCCCCCTCCCCTCTCCATCCAGTTCCCCCTCCCCCTCCCCCGCCCGCCGTCCCATGGCGTCTCTCCTCCGCACGGCCGCCGCGCTCGCGCCCCCACCGTCGTCCGCCCGGGAGACGCGGCGGCCGTCGTGCGCCGCCTCCCTCGCCTGCTCCCGGCGCGCGCCGGCGAGTCCGCTGCGCGCTCCGCCTCTGCCCGGGCCATGGCGATTGGGGCCCGATGAGGCCGCGCGTACGGCCACTCAGGTGAGGCGTGGCGTCTCCACCCCCAGTGCTTCATCTGTAGCGTTCGTAGATTGTGTCGTTTCTTTCATATTTTTCAGTGGATATGCAGTAAATTTTATCTTAGGAAGATGTATGTATTATTAGATTTCTGATGATGTATCGTCTCTGTTGAAAATTGGATGTCGGAGTTGGAATTTTGTTCTGGGCACGCACAATTTGCGTAGTAGTACCATCCTGTCTGTCCTGAAAGTGATTATATGACCATCATCTGCTTTGCACTAACATCAGTGGCACAGCCAAAGTCATTTCCCGCTAGAGTTGCTTGTTCAGACATTTGTAATTGAAGATCTCATTTTCCTAAAAGCCTAATGGCTTTAGATGCAAAACCTTTTGAACATGGGTTGTTGGGTGCAAATTGCAAAGTGTAGTATCTCTTTTTCAGTTGGACAGCTGCTGCCATATGCTGTTGTCTGTGTCATTCTTGAGTGGCCTTGGTAGGAACCTTGGAACTTTAAAGTGTGATATTTGCTTTTCAGTTGTTTTATGTTCAGTTGAACAGGTGCTGCCATATGCTATTCTGTGTATTGTTTTGACTTTTGAGTGGCCTTGGTGGGCATCTTTGAACTGCTATATGCCATAAGACCTGAATAGGAATCTTTGAATGGTTTATTCTTGACGAGTAGGAATCTCTGGAATACCGTATGTAAGTCCAGTAATGACGAAAACATTTTAGATGTGCCGGACACATGCCTGTGCTTCATATCTGACATGAATAGACGAGTATAATCAATTCCGACCATTGTGCATGAGAGTAAACCATAAATCTTAGATATTGCTCTACTTATTTGATGTCAGTATGCTGTAATATATTTGGTTTTCACTAATGATTTACTGCCAGGGGCTGTTTTTATTGTGCTCGTATAGTTTCTCTGCCGATACATGAGAAGAGATGGGCATGAAGGTGATGGGAGAACGCAAGGACAAGACGAACCTAGTATGTTTGGGCCAGATGATGACGATGGTGCAAAGATTCCTACTCAGGTGGAAACTCTTGTTAGAGGCACTGCAATAGTTGATGCTCCAGAATACAAGCCGCTCCCAGATCTCGATTACCTTCAGGTGCCTTGTACTGTTCTATTTTCATTTTATTAAGTTAACTTTTGTGCCCATTAGCCTCTAAGCTTGTCTGGGATCACCGCATATTCCATGCAGTTCATCAATCTTTAGTTAAATATGTGTATCAATACATTATTCGTTGGTTTATACTATGGGTTAATCTCACTTTATTGGTAATAATACAGGAATTGCTGGCTATTCAGCAGCAAGGACCCCGATCAATAGGTTTCTTTGGTACCCGCAACATGGGGTATATGCATCAACAACTTATTGAGATCTTGAGTTATGCCATGGTCATAACAGTATGTCACTGTGCTATATGTTATTATTGTTCATTACAACTTGATTCCTCCACACCTCTAGTTAATGTTTACATGTTAATTGCAGAAAAATCATATATTCACATCTGGTGCTTCTGGGACTAACGCAGCTGTTATTAGGGGTGCTTTGAGAGCTGAGAAGCCAGAATTGCTTACCGTAATTTTGCCTCAAAGTCTAAAGAAGCAACCTCCTGAAAGCCAAGAGCTATTATCCAAAGTAAGAATATGTGGTATTTCAGTTCTGTATAGGTCATTTCTAGTTTATTTTTGTTCCATAACTTTACTAAGAACCCTAAATAGTAAATACACCACCTTTCTTTTTAGATTATATTTTCTACTTACGCCAACTTGTGATTGTATATGTCTAGATTGCTCATCACAATCTCATGTGTCCAAAACCAAATTATGGAAAAATTCATTATGTGAGAATTCCACATAAAATTGAATAACATGAATTCATAAGCTGAACCCCTCAATCAACTTGCGAATGAACTGTGTCTATTGGACCTAATTCATGGTCAAAGATGATAATCAACAACTGATTCAATGGCTTGTATTATGACTTGTGAAGTTTCAGGCTCCCATTATCACCTGATATGTCCATTATGAACAATCTTAGAAATGCATTCATTTATTCTATTCTCATTCAGACATTGGATTTTTAATCTTCATCGTACAATAGAAGCAAGTGAGGGGAAAAAGCCTGCCGTGCCCTTCCTCCTTGATCTTGTTGCCTCTGCCACATCCCCTCTCAAAGCTCCTCTTTCAGGCTCTGGGCTCATTTTTGGTTAGCCTCGGGAACTAGAGTGAAGGGATCACGAATGATCTTCAAAAGCCAGATCTTGATCTGGACACCCTAGGATTTAGACTCCTGGATCTACTACTCCCCACCTTCTCCGCCCACTTAAACGAACTAGTGTGGTTAAGGTATCCCAATCTCCTGTCCATGGGTGGTAGCCATCTTCAGACTGTTTGCTGGTAACCCTTGGAGTTGCTGGTGCAAACCCCACTGTCAGACATCTGAGCCAAGGAGGTGGTGCTATGCTGGAGAATATGTGCTTCATCGTCTACTCCACCAGTGGGGATGATATAGTTTACTTCCCCAAGCCCAAATACCAGTCTGTAGCATTTCCATTTCAGGGTCCTTTGGTGTCCTGTGCTGAAATTTTTCTAACCTGTCCAGGTTCCAGAGAGATCTCAATCTTCTGAGGCCATCTTTCCTTAAAAAGTATAAACTAACAACACTATGTTTATTGACCGAGTAGTATCTTATCTGGTGATTTGAGTTAACAAACAAAACTGCATAACTAAAATTGTAGGGATTCCTGAGGCACCACCAGGGGAGTGTGGCGTTGCAAAGACCTGGCTCCATGGGGCTCGTTTTGCAAAAAATAATAAATAAATAAATATATATAGAAGTTTAAAAAAATTCAATTTTTTCCTACAAATACATATGCATATTCTTCAAGTATGTAGAAAATTTTATCAACTAATTTTATTATTTGCATGCTACACAAAAAAGACAAATACCTGACACAAATACTACAAAGAAAAAAGCCTATTTTAATCTGTGTATTTGTCTTTTTTGTGTACATCACATATGAATATATATGTCCATGAAATTTTATGCATGTATGCTACAAGTATATGTCTACATGAAAACATTTTTTCAGATTTTTTCGAGATGTGGAAAAGGTATTTCTGCTGAAAAAGAAAATCAAGAGCTCAATGGAGCTCGGCCTGTGCAGGCACTTTTCGACCACCAGGGCTCCTATAGGATTCTTGGCAACTTACGAGATCAGTACTGTAACATGTGTTAATTTGAACAAAGTGCCTCGCAGAAATTATTTCTTATCCTGCTTTAGCTTGGAAAGCTGATTCTGTTTTCAGGTGGTACATTGGATATGTTTCAGTGACATTCTGTTAATTTTTAGGTACAAAACTTGATTGAGAAACCTCAGTATGACCATTTACCACTAATTGAGGCTAGCAGGTTTGTTAGCTTTCTGTTCAAATTGCTTTCAGTTTTAGTGTTATGCATTTTGCGCTCCAATCTCAACAACATTTACGTATTATTTTGCTTTTAAATATTAAATAGTACTCCCTCCATCCCATAATATAAGAGTGTTTTTTACACTACACTAGTGTAAACAACGCTCTTATATTATGGGACGGAGGGAGTAACATAGTGTTTGGGCTCACTTTATGTTGTTGCTATGTCTGAGTAGTTTCATCACAGTCGATTTGTCACACTTGATATTACCACTCTTAATAAAACATATATCATGATTTTTGTGTTAGCCTATTTTTATTTGAGAGAACTGCTTTAGATTACGTTTCTCTTGTGCCATCACATTATAAAAACAACTCTTATGATTTTTCAGGTTATGCAACATGGACATCATCTCGAAGGTCCAACAGGTGATATGCTTTGCGTTTCATGACAGCAGGCTGCTGATGGAGACCTGCCAGGAGGCAAAGAACATGCGGAAGATCGTAACGCTCTTCTACTTGGATTAGCTAGCACCTCGGGGCGCTTCTCCCCTTTTTGTCCGTAGGCCGGTGAACGGGATGCTGTCATTCCTGTATACACTAAAGCTCTGGAGTAGGTTCAGGTTTGGGGCATAACAGTGCGTCTTCGGGCATTTTGCCCATTATTCAAATTCTTGGTAGAAACCAAATAAGCTTGTCGATATGTCTAGTCTGTCAGTAAAGAAAATAATTCAAGTTCTTATTACTAGTAATTTCAAAGGCTACAGTATTGAAAAAACTGTTTCCACTCTCAATCAAAAAGAAAAAGGAAAAACTGTTTCCGAAGGCTGAGTTGACGACTTATTCAACAATGTCAGTCAGAGGGCTGCCAAACCTGTTCAAAGCTACTACCTCTGTTCCTAAATGCAAGGTGTTTTTGCAGTTCAACTGAACTGCAACCTCGAACGGAGGTAGTAGTATATAATTTCAGATGTTTTGGGATCTCTGATGCATTTCACTCAATGCGAAATCAGTATTATTAGTACATGTGAAAAGCATATGTGGTTGAAAAGTGAAAACAATGCAAAACCAATCTTTTACATGCGTAAAGCACACCTTGCTGCAAACAATGCAAAGCCAACCCTTTTATATGAGAAAGGGTGTCTACAATGGTTTAAGCACGCTGTGATCCAAAAAGTGACAGAGCTGTACTTGGAGAAGAGCAAAAAAAAAAAAAGGTGCTGCTACCACAGCATCAAACCGGCAAGCCTATAAACACCACTCCAATTTACAGCATTCAGTATGCATCAGATCCTTCTGCTGCGAAAACCTAATATGGTAGGCGCTGAAACTGTTAATATAGTCAGCACTGAAACTGTCAAAGCAGCTCGAGGCCGGCCGGTCAGTCGTCGCAAGCTTAAGCTTAGACCATGTAGAAGCCCTCGTCGGGGTCGTCGCTGCCGATGAGCACCAGCCCCTCGACGAGCACGGGGAACATGCACCTCGCCGGCTGGCAGCCGGTGGCCACCACGCCGTCCGGCGCGTCGACGACGTCGAAGGCGTGGTGCCTCTTCAGCACGCCGATCACGCTCGCCGTGTCTCCCTCCCTGATGAACCTGTCAAGAAAAAAGCAAAAAGCTGGTTGCAGTTTTGCTGAACATGTGACTTACATTGTTGTGCTCTGAAACTGAGCCACCAAGACCCTTACCCTTCTTCGACGCGCACGGCGCCGTCGCAGGACACGCCGGTGCTCGCCGCCCAGCTCTTGAGGCTCCGTGACGCGCCCTTGCCCTTGCCGTCTCCGCCGTCGAAGCTGGTGGTTTTCCGGTTGATCATCCAGGTGATCTTGGCGCCTTCTCCGGCGCGCACGTAGAACCTCCTCCCGGTGTTCCTGTCGGAGATGTAGAAGTTCGTCGACCGCGCCTGCCAGGGTCAAAAGACATACCGTCAACACCTGAGTGCACTTGTTCAGGCAGTGGGTTTATGAGGGTGGTAGAGCCTGACTGACTGACCTCGGAGTGCCGGAGCTGCCACCGGGAGCAGCAGCAGGCCCACGCCCACCCACGGCGGCCGTACATCCGGACCGACGTGAAGACGCACCGGGCGGCGTCGTGGAAGCAGGCCCCCACGGGCACCCGGCCGCAGGTCACTTGCTGCAATGCAAAGCACCACACGGCGTCAGGCCATGTCAGAGAATAAGCTTTCAGTAACCACACGCACACTGACACGGTGTAATCTTTCGCAGATCATTGTTGCTTGCAGAGATAATTAGCGACGCATGCAGTGCCTTGGTGAAGCAAAAGTGGTCTGGTAGCTTGTGCTCCACCAGAGGTAATGCATGGCAGGGAAGCCATTGACCACCACATGTTGCTTGAACCCGTTTTTGACAGCCTCTGACGCTTACCATATGCAAGCAAAGCAGCTCCAGCAGTTTGGACTGCCGGGCTAGATTGGCATATGCGTCGCTTGCTGCCGAGCTAAGCTTCAGCAGACGCCTCTGAAAGCTGAATTCTGGCACGCTCGAGCTATATTCGATTACGATTGGCATAAGCAATTAAATCGGCATGCAAATTCTTGCTAAACAAGTGAAGAAACGGTGTCTGATCATTGATCAACGTAGCGATAATGAGTTTTGCACGTGAGCAAAACAGAGAGGTATGAGGCGCGGCGGCTCACCCCGGTGATCTTGACGAGCTCGCCGATGGGCATGTCCCCCTGCTCGAACACCGTGTCGGGGGACAGCCGGAAGAACCGCTCCGCCTCCGCCGCGCACCGCAGAAAGTTCCAGGCGAGCACGGCCGCGGCTGCCGCCACCGCGCCGCCCGCAGCCGCGAGCGCCTCCCACCGGCGCCACGCCACGAGGAAGAACAGCCCGGCGCCGACCCCGGCCGCGGCGGCCACGAGCACCAGCACGTAGCACGCGAACGGGACCGCGAGCTTCGTGCTCCCGCGCGCCACGACGGGCGCCGCCTCCTCCATGGCGGCCGCGCGCCTCCGGCTCGCCTTCCTCCACGACCCTCCGCGAGCCGGCGACGGCGAAGGCGCGGCGGGAGGCGACGGGCCCACGAGGAGGCCCGAGTGCGAGAGCTGCGACAGCGGCCCGGACGCCGACGGCGACGGGGCAGGCCGGGGCGGCAGCGGCAGGTGCCCGGAGCTGCGGCGCGAGGAGGAGGCCGGGGACGGCGCCTGCGACTGCCACGACGAGGAGGCGACGTCGAACATCCGGCCCAGCTCGCCGGACCGCGACAGGTCCCCGCCGGTGTACGGCGGCGTGGCTACCGACCCCGACGACAGCTGCCGCTCCCGCTTCCTGTCCGGCGCCCGGCCGGACACGTACATGCCGCTCCCTATCTGATGCATCTCGACCCCTCCCTCCGTCCCTCCTCCGGCCGCCCCTCGTGACGCACGCCTGGCCGCCGCGAGCAAAAGCGATCAAGCTGGCTAACTCGAGTAGTGGAAGCAGCACAAAGAAGAAGATGAAGGTGACGACGACGGCGACGGCGTGATGTGAGGGCGAAGGCTAGCTGCCGCTACGTCTTTAGCATGTCGTGATCGACCGGGCTATCGGGAACAGGGCGGCAAAGGACCGATCGACGCAACGGTGCGCTGCACTGGGCGCTAAGCAAGTTTTTATTCGGCCTGCTGCGCGCGTGTTCGTTGCGTGGTCGCGAATTAATTCGAGGTCGGCCGGCGTGACCGCTCCGGGCACTATCGATCGGTCGGAGCAAAACCGTTAGTTAGCTCAGCTTGGACCTAGTGGCTTTCGCTTTGCATCTGATCTGGACATCTCGGGCAGCTAATGGAGCGTGAGCGAGCAATACGGACGGAAGGTGGCGGTGATGCTGAGGAACCACGCGCTCTTTTGGCCGGCAACACGAGCGTACGTGGCGGGCGCTTAGGCGCGCGTGGTAGATCTATATATACGGACAAGAGACGTCATTATATTCTGCAAATTTCTGCCGGCGCGTGTATCTTCCATTTCTGCCGGAGCAAACCGTTGTTGTATTTTCATGACGAACATAGCACATTTTTTTTCTGGATTAGTCTTAGTTATATCTGGCCATCTGTCGGGCCGGGCCGGGCTTCGGCCCGAGGCAAAAAACCTAGGCCCAAGCCTGGCCCGGGCCCCTTCCCTAAAATGTAAAAAAGCCAAGCCCAGGCCCGGCCAATGTGTTCTTCAGGCTAAAAAATCAGGCCCAAGCCCACCCATGGGCAAGACCGGGCCGGGTCAGATCGGGCTTTTTCGGGCTGGATATCCCATGACCAGGTATAGTAGTCTTAGTAATATATAGTACAAAGGAGAAGGACAAACATATTTTGTTTGTTAAGCACTCAATTGCACCTCACAACTTAGTGTTCAACCTAATGCTTTTATCAAATGTGTGGAATTTAGTTTATATCACTACTTTTGCCTACTAAGTGTGCTCCCCCACATAAAAATTATATCATTTCGTCAATGTACCATAAATAATTAACCTTTGTTGTCTGGATTACTAGACATAACAAAACAACAATCGGATACTTTCGCGACGCGCCACGCTTGTGTGGCAATCCAAACAAACATTTTGTTGGACATATTAGCAATTTTCCTATATTGATTTAATCCATAGTTAAACATATGAGCATGTACGAAACATAGAATAAGAACATCTATGATAACAACACACGATCCTACTGTTCAGATATGGTTGTTGCGAAACATGTCCATTAATGACTCGTGATTGATTAAAAATTAATTTTCCATTTTGAACAAGCTCGAATAGCATGTGGAAGAGAATCCATTATATGTTGTTATCAACTCTCCTCCAAAACCTGTGTGGTAATGAACTTCCCACCATGTCTTGAAATCCCACATGGGATTGAGATTTTCCAGAAATTATTTCTTATATGGCCCTAGAACCCATCTATAATTCAACACATTCTTCCATATGTTCACTGATTTAAATAAATGGAACATTATTTCATGGCAAAGTAGCAACACATTAATGTGAAGGATTGAGAATTGCGAATCATGAACAACTTGTTACGGTCATGTGATTGAGACCAGGGTTGAGATAGAACACCTAGAGGTCGTGCCGTTGGAAAGATGTAGTAACAACCAACGTTGATGACCCGAGCTTCAAAGTTGTCCCTGTTTAGCAGCTTGTCCTTAGCGCGGAAGATGAAGATTGAGGATATTGTGAATAAGATGAAGGTCCATATTAGTTTCTTATGGACATTTTGTGCCGAGGAGATGAAGAGCGAGTATAATAGGCCAAATGCATTTTTGCTCTTAGTCGAAACCACCCCATAGGTTTTGCCCCTACTTTTCAGCTTTGCTCAGTTTTGCCCTTAGATTTGTCTCTAAGGCTGTTCAAGTGCCCTTTGACCATTTGACCAATACTTTGAAAATTCATAAAAAATCATATGAACTCATAGAAATGCAAATAAGATATGAAAATGTTCAGAAAAGCATTACCTTTATGTGCATGTCATTTGCATTCAGGAAAAAAGTACTGTTTAAACTACATGAGGTTGTTAATGTCATCAACATTGCGAAACATAAAAAGGTATATGCTTTTTCATGAATAAAAATGACATGAAAATATAGGTGATGTTTTTTTGAACATTTTGATATCTTATTTGCATTTTTCCGAGTTCATATACTTGTTATGAATTTTCAATGTAATGGTCAAAGTCGTTTGAAAATCCATAACAAAATTCATATGAACTTGAAAAATGCAAATAAGCTATTAGAATGTTCAGAAAACATGCCTATATTTGCATTCCATTTTTATTAATGAATAAGTATTTTTATACCTTTTTATGTTTAAGAATGTTAATAACATTAATAACCTGAAGTAGTTTAAACAATACTTCTTTCCTGAATGCAATTGACATGCACATAAAGGTAATGTCTTTCTTAACATTTTGATATCTTATTTGTATATTTATGAGTTCTCATGAGTTTGTCATGAATTTGCAAAGTATTGGCCAAACGGTTAAAGGGCACACAAATGACCTGAGAAAAAAAATCTAAGGGCAAAATCGAGCAGAGCCGAAAAGTAAGGGAAAAACCCACAGGCTGGCACAATGCTACTTGTGAGCTATGTTGGGATTTTCCTCGAAGAGGAAGGATAAAGCAATATAGTAGCAGATAGTATTTCCCTTAGTAAAGAACCAAGGTTATAGAACCAATAGGAGATTCACGAAAACAACTGGCGACATTACCTACACACAAGAGCAAATACTTGCACCTAACACGAGCAAGAGGGTTGTCAATCCCCTTGTACTCGTTAGTTGCAAGGATCAAATCTGATAGTAGGTGATAGATAAGTTGTAAAGTAAAATAAAAGTAAATAAATTGCATCAAGGTATTTTTGGTTTTTGTAATATGATTAAAATAGACTCGGAGCCATAGTTTTCACTAGAGGCTTCTCTCTCATAAAAATGACATACAGTGGGTAGACAAATTACTGTTGGGCAATTGATAGAAAAGCGCATAGTTATGACGTTATTCATGGCATGATCATGTACATTGTCATTACGTCCATGACAAGTTGGTCGACTCCTGCCTGCATCTACTACTATCACTCCACCAATCGATCACTATCTAGCATGCATCTATGGTATTAAGTTCATGACAAACAGAGTAACGCTTTAAGAAAGATGACATAATGTGGACATAATAAAACCAAGCAACATGATTGAACCCTATCATTTTCTCCTTAGTAGCAACAATACAAATACGTGTCTCGCTACCCCTTCTGTTACGAGGTGAGGACACCGCAAGATTGAACTTACTACTATGCACCACTCCAGCTAAAGATAAATCAGTCTAGTTGGCCAAACCAAACGGATAGATCCGAGAGAATTACATAGCTATAACAATCACACACAATAAAGTTCAAAAAAAACTCAATCACTTTCAGTGAATAATCTGGTCATCAACCCACAATTAATCGAATCCCAACAAACACACCGCAAAAGAAGATTACATCGAATAGAACTTCGAGGAGAACATTGTATTGAAGATCGAAGAGAGAGAAGAAGCCATCTAGCTAATCACTACAGACCTGTAGGTCTGTGCTAAAGTACTCACAAATCATCGAAGGTGCAGCAAGGTTGATGTAGAAGCCCACTGTGTTCGATTCCCCCTCCGATAGAGTACCGGCAGAGGCCTCCAGATGGAACCGCGGAAGAACATAGGCTTACGATGGCGGAATAATTGTTTTGGGATTTATGGGAATTTATGGAAGTGAAACTAGGTCAAATGGAGTTGCGAGAGGCCCACAAGCTCATGTGGCGCGCCCCCTAGGGGCGCACCGTTTGAGCTTGTGGCCCTCTCGTAAGTCCTCTGGACTCCTCTAGAAGCTTCTACGATCCTTTCTGGTCCAGAAAAAATCACTGTAAAGTTTCATCGTATTTGGACTTCGTTCGGTACTATTTTTCTATGAAACAATAAAATAGGCAAAACAGGAACTGGCACTGGGCACTGAGTTAATTGGGTTGTTCCAAAAAATGATATAAAATTGTATATAAAGCATACAAGATTTATAATAAAATAACATGAAACAATAAAAAATATATAGATGCATTGGAGACGTATCATACAACTAGGGGAAAAAGTGTATTTGTACCTAATAATTAATGGAGAATACAAAAGAGTTGATTATGGGAAAGATGAATAATGACAACATGCATAAATTTTGAAATTCTAACGGTGTTGGTAGCTAGCGATGAGGGATCCACTATCCATTGGTGTTTCAAGATTGGTGCCCATGATTCCTTTATTTTTGCAATACGAACGAGATAAATGGAGAAATATGGAGGTGGACCCCACCATCACCAAGGTATTTATGCCTAGGACCCGCATGTGCTCTTGTTCCATCTCTCTCACTCTCGCCGAAGGCGGCAACAAAGTGCGAGTGGGCGAAGCATGAGCCAACGTGGTGCACCTACGCCGACCATGGGTGGATTTGCTTTCCCCGACCATGACTTGGTCGACATGAAATACCCATTTTCCTTGGCAGGTTGGATACACCTTCTCCAGCCACGACCATATTTGGGGTCGCTGATGCTAGCCACCATCGCCATGCACTGGCGAGCTCCCTCTTTCTCTAGCTTGGTCGATGATAACCCACAAGTATATGGGTTCGCAATAGTTTTCGAGGGTAGAGTATTCAACCCAAATTTATAGATTCGACACAAGGGGAGCCAAAGAATACTTGCAAGTATTAGCAGCCGAGTTGTCGATTCAACTGCACCTGAAGATTAATTATCTACAACATCGTGATCAGTAGCAAAGTAATATGATAGTTTTGATAATAGTAGCACCAACAATGGTAACGATAACGGTGATAGCAGTAGTTTTGTAACAA